TTTCCTCAATCTTTACAGAAATTACTTAATTATTCAAAATGGGTTACTCTTTCACCAAAGGTACGAATTACAAAAATTAATTTGTTTTCAAACTACATTTGTTAAATTTTATAAAAAAATTTGATTTAAGGTATCACAGTGGATTCAAGTGATTTTAAAATGGAAGTATTTACCTGAAAAATACATCAAAGTTTTTGCAACTTCAGCTTTACTTATAAGTAAATTAGATGAAAGTTGTTTTATTCATTGTTTGACGACCGTTTTACAAAGTGAAGAATAAAGTTGATGTTTAAATTATTAAACTCTTAAAAAAAATGAAGTAAATAAAAAAAAAGAATAATCGAATTAATTTTAATTTTGAGCTTACCTCCATAAAAAAAAAAACCTATTTAAAATAATGGTAAAAAAGAAAAAGTGAAAGATGATTAAATTTTAAATTAAAAAAAATTATTTTTTACAGATAATGAATATTTATTTTAATTTTATAAATCCCTACAGTACTTTTAAAATTTCTAAAAAATGTATTACAATATACAATCGAAAGTAATTTAATTGAAAAAAATTACTATTTGTAGGCAAAATTGGTAACTTCACCAATTAATTGTTTTGTTATAAATGTTGTAATTATTGAAATTTAACAAAATGTTGAATTCTTTTTCATTAGCAAATTTTTATAGTAATTTTTTATTATTATTAAAAATTGCGTTTTAATTCTACGAATGATTTCTTAATTACAAGCCTTTAAATACTTCATTAGCTTTTAATGCATTCATTTATTAATATATATATATATATGACTAATTGTAAAATTTTTTTTTAAACAGATGTTTCATTATCATCTACTGGTAGAATTAAGGTTTGAGGCCTTCCTTCTCTGTCTGTTCCTTTTGCAATATTTTCAATTCTTTTCGAATCGCAAGTGCCTGTTTTTTTAATCGGAGTTTTACTCGGGCTACTTCTTTTACTACTCGGGTATGATTTAATTAATTTTGCTCTGAAAAATTAGGTATTAAAAATTATCACTAATTAAATTTAAAAAAAAAAATAATAGCTTATTGCTTACACATCTAAAAGTTTTAATAGCAGCCTTGAAAAAATTTGATATTCTTCTTCTCCGAATTCACTGGGATCATGTCTAGCATGCTCATAAAGATCGCAAAATTGATGAATTAATTTTTGTATAGAACCATTCATTGGTCCGACTAATGTCATCAAAAGAAAACTTCTTAAATTATCAGTTGCACTTCTTTGCAAACTGTGGTCTTTTTTTGT